AAAAAAAAAAAAAAAAAAAAACCCCCCAAAAATATTTTTTTTAACCTAAATTTCCTTTTTCATATTGCATATGTTAATTACTGAAAAGATTTACAAGTCGCAGCTACTGAAGTTCCTATGTTTATTGTTCTTATTGTTTACAAGAATAACTACTCCAAAATGTGAAGATTACTACAGAATTCTGCAGCCAAACTTTTGAAGGACCAAATAAACAGAGCAGCCTGAACGAAGGGTGCCAGAAAAATTAAAGATAGCAGAGTTAATTTTCTCACACGGTAACAAGCTCTGAGGCACACTCTTCTGTTTGCTTACTGTCATTTAGATAATATAACATAGGAACTTCAGTAGCTGCGACTTGTAAATCTTTTCAGTAATTAACATATGCAATATGACTAGGAAATTAGAGTTAAGAAAGTTCTTTGGGGACCTTTTGAAGTTTTTAGTTCAAGCCATGTTAATGTTAATCAAGATTAGAAAATGTTAATTACCACGGAATCCTAGTGTTAAAGTAAGATAGGCAGCTTAAATCAAAGTTGTGCTATGATCTTGAAAAGAGCATCATTCTTGAATTTGTTGAAAAGGTGCTCTTTAAGACTGATTGGAACACCCAGGGAGAAAATTTCATAGGTAAAATTTCTTGCCACATTCCTAAAGCAATTACGTGAAACTCGTTTGGAGTTTCTAACCCCCAATCCTTTACCAAGGAACCAAGTAATCAGAGTTTTGAAGAATATGAGTTGCGAAGTTCCTGATTTAGATGTCAGTTGATTGGATAATATGACCAAACTGGAAATTCAACTGGAGATTTACGATGTAATTCTAATTGGTATTTTGTTTCCATTATATCAGAAAATGCCAACATGGGATGTTGCAACTGGGAGCTGAAAGTATTGTCAGGGCAGATCTAGTATGGATTAAAAATTAAAAAGCTGTTCACATTAAATTAATTGGGTGGTGGATGGCCAAGGCTGCTTTTTAAGTGAAAGGAACCCTCAGGAGTTGGTTGTATACATTTACCTTTTCCCTCAGCCAAAGCACTAGAAAACACATAATATTTGGCAGAATTAAGAGGGCACAAAATTCAAAGAAACTTCAGAAGACAGATTTTATTTGTAGTCTTTCAATATTTTGCAGGAGACATTTTCTGTTGAGTTGGAAAAGTGGGAAATGAAAAATATAATTATAAATCCCCGGACCCCCGTTTTTTTCTTTTAAAAAAAATTGTTCTATTTAGATCTTTTTCAGTGCTTTAGATTGTGGTGTTGCCAACGCCACAAAATTTGGAAAGCCTTGCTTTCCTGAAATGTAGTGGCTCTCAGAAATGAACTTTTGCTTTCCAGCTTCTTTAAACAAGCGATAGCATCTGCCAAAGGACCTGTGGTGGCACAATGGTTAGAATGCAGTATTGCAGGCTGACTCACTGCTCACTGCAAAACGTTCGATCCTGACTGGCAATATGCTGATTCTGTAAACTGCTTCAAGAAGGCTTTAAAGCACTATGAAGTAGTATATAAAGTTTAAGTGCTATTGGTATTACATGGCATTACAGTTGAAAGTAGATTTCTTCCTAGCGTTTTAAAAATGCTGGCTAATAATGATTTCTAATCTGTTTGCTAATATGAAGATTCTATATATTGCTAGCTGATATTCCCTTGATAAAACAATATGAAACAGGTCTTGCCTGATAACTAACACTCTGAGTTTGGAAGTCAAAAATCCAGGTAAATATCGGCAGAGATCTCCTTTTGTGAGCTGTAATGGAGTAATCAAAGTCCAGCTAATTCAAACAAATAGTAAGTCGAGGTAGTAGCTTGGAGCAGTGGACAAAAACAGAATGCAAGTACATTAGAATATTGGGAAAAATCATATAGCAGAAGAATTAATGTTCAGTGGTGCAGCAAAAGCATTGCGTACTTGGGCATTTTCTTGGATTGAAAACAGCTTCAAATGCCTTCACTGTGTTTGAATTTTGGGGGACCTGCTTGTATTTCACAGGAAAAAAAACAGGGATATCATTTTCATGTCTATTCATAAGTAACCTCATTAAAAAAAAGAAAACCTTTGCTCAACCTTTAGGTAGGGCAGAGAAAGACCATTATCTTCTGTTTTTGAGCTAGCTGCATGTAACGGAAGACACAGCACGCTGAGATAGATGGACCAATGGGTCAGATCAGAAAAAAAACACTTCCCTTATTACCAGCATCTGCAGCTACTTGGATTTTTTGCCTTTTATTTTCACTGTGAGCAGAAGATGCCTTCAGTTAGCTGCCTTCTTTGCTCTGTGATATGCGGAACCTCTTAATAAGAACCGAGATAACATGAAATTTTCTAACATGGCAAATAGAATAATATTGATATCAGAGCCACAGGGAAGCACTCTGTACTTAATTATCTCCAGAAGCAAAACATCACTGTTCCCAAAAATCACAAATAGGGAGGGGAAGATTGGGCTCCATGCTACAAGCCCTTCCTGCTACCTTCATGTAGTTCCAGATCTATTTTTCTTGGGGAGATGGGGTGGGGGGGTGGGGGTTTGTTCAGTTTTCCCTAATCTCTTAATGATGCATAAAATTATTTCACCTTTGCTTTGGCATTTATTTATACAGATTTCTACTGCCTGTCCTATTTGAAAGATTTTCAGTTAATAGTGAAGCAAAACATGCAGATGAAATATAAGAAGCATCCCATCAAAAATTGCTCTTGTGTATATTAAAACCCATCTGGCACAGCGAGCCAAACAAGAATGTTTTTGCACTGCTTTTGAAAAGTGCCTTTGGAACCAGTACATTACACTAACATGCAATCACTAAGCAATCTACTGATTTTATTTCTGTATTCATCCTGTGATTTTTATCTTTGTGATTCAAATGTCTTTGAATTACTGCAAAAGAATGTTTAGATTTATTTCACAAATTGAGGTAACTCATCATAGGAATTGTATTAATTTACTCAATGGGTGAACATGGAATTAAATGATTCTAGATCCTTCAGGGCACATTAAGTTTTGGAAGGAATTTGGCTATCTCAGCACTTTTTTAAGTCTTCGTTTCGTAAAGTGAAAATTTCTATACAGATGTTAGTAGTAGATCGTGTCACATTATATCCAGCACAATTTATGATTTCAATCTATACTAAGAAGTCAGAAGAGATAAAAGTCAAAATGCCATTTCTTCAGAGCGCGTTCCTCTTTGTAAGTCATTGGAACACTTATCTGCATTGTTTATCTGACTATAACATATTGAGCATGGTTCTGTTCATTTGTGGGTGGATGTCTGTATAATTGTGTATGTGTTGAAGCTTAACTGTGCAGATGCTAATTTGAGGGCTATATTTTGTTTTCCTGCAGGTTGCATTTCTGAAAATGTACCATGACCTGTAAAGAAAAACAACCGTCTTTTTTTCTGTCAAGAATTGTGGAATATTAGACCTCAAGTGAAGATTATCTTTCTCAAAGTGGTACCAACCATCCTGAATCAAAAGCTGGATATTTCAGCTTTTTTATTGATTTTGGAGTCTTCTGATGTTCAGAAAATTTGACAGAGGCAAGTTCTTCAAGCATCGTTGTAAAACCAGAGTTCAGAGAGTGAATTAATTTGAAATGTCAGGAGTCTGAGATCACTGTAACTAATATCCTACTAATTCCCCCAAGAGAAGTCAATTATCTCCTGAAACAACATCAGCTTTACAAAGAAGGCTTCATAAGTAGCTCCTTTGCCTTTTTTGAGGAATTAGGAACCGGCTGCCAGGGACTAGACATTGGATATTTTAATGTCCAAATGGAAAAGTAAACTGCAACCTCTTTTGGTAAGCTGTGTTTTAGTTAAAATTGAGAGTTTCTGCAAAGCAAAGGGGTTAAAACAGGACTTCTCAGAGTGTGAATTGGGTTTCTCTCAGTACCTCCATCACCTTCCACTGGAGAATCTCAAGCAACCTAGAGTGTCACAATTTTGTAAAAACAAACAAACAACAACATGTAATGGGACTTGTGTGGAAAATATGAGAGCACTATCAAAACCCACTTTGAGCTTTGCTGTTCATTTGTTTGAGTGGTCCCAGAGGGAAGAGTTGCTGTACCCTAATCTTTAAAAATTCCTGTGATGTATGAAGTAAAATTGAATTCCTAGAAGTGATAGATTTATTTATTCTTTGCACATTCTTAACACTGATGAAAGCAATACTTTGATTTGGTGGGAATACTCAACACACAACTTCATTTATTATTTTAGGGAGTGACAGAGTTGAAGATCCATTGGAGTAAAGGTTGTTTTCCATATGCATGCATGATTTCTCAGTGAGCTGTGAGTGATAGTTACAAAGAATTGAGTATGAATGATAGGAAGTAGATGAAACTGGGATATGATGTGATGGGTATACTCCGATGTGCCCAACTAGAAAGAATGAAGTTCCTCCAAGAATGATGAAGATGAAGAAGATTTTGAGGAGAATGTTTCATCCTTAGAACTAGACATGTTATAAAAAGGAGTGGGATGTCTCAGAACCATGCAAGCAGTGGTGAAATCCTCTGAAGTCTACTACCGGTTCGGTGAGTCTGCTACCAAGCGCACGCTTTGCGCATGCATACATACTTTATATGCATGCACGCCTGCACAGCGCTAAAAAAGGAAAATTTTGAAGCCTTCCAAGTTTGCAAAGATAAGTAGAATAGCAAGAGGAAGGAGTCCACTAGGCCAAATTAGCTAGAAAGCAGGAAATTGAACAATTGTAGCTAATATAAATGCGTATCACAGCTGAGGTCACCCAACTGATCATTGGAAATACCATTGGAATTAAGCATTTTTTACTACTGGTTCAGGAGAACTGGCCTTTGTTTCCCTATATTTAATATCAAAAATTAAGGGTTTTCCCCTTCTTTTTTGGACAACAGGAAATATGAATCCATGTACTGTATATAAGAGGGCCGCGGTGGCTCAGTGGCTAAGATACTGAGCTTGTCGATCAGAAGGTCGGCAGTTCAGCGGTTCGAATCCCTAGCGTCACATAACGGAGTGAGCTCCTGTTACTTGCCCCAGATTCTGCCCAACTAGCCCACCTATCAGTTCGAAAACACATAAAAAATGCAAGTAGAAAAATAGGGACCACCTTGGTGGGAAGTTAACAGTGCTCTTTGTGCCTTCAGTGTTTAGTCATGATGGTCACATGACCATGGAGAAGTCTTCGGACAGCGCTGGCTCTTCAGCTTAGAAATAGAGATAAGCACCACCCCTAGAGTGGGAAACAACTAGCATGCATGTGCAGGGGAACCTTACTGTATATAAAAGGATTGTATGATATATTGTGTTTTTAAATCATTTAAAATATATTTCCGATTAAGAAGCACTATTTTGGGGCTTGAATTCTTAGGCTTAGTTGCACAGAGATGCCAATACATTTTCAAATGAAACAATGAAATGCCTTATTGAATTTTCATGAAAGTGGTGTAGAATTGATCCATGTAAACATTCAATGATTTCAAGGAATAAAAACATGTACCACAGTCCTTAAAAAATTTACTTAATTGGCTTTCTTTTTAACTCTGTAGAAACCATTAAAGACCGCATTGCTATATATATCATTAAATTAAGATAAATGGAATAGAATAGAACAGAAAAGAATAGGAATAGATTAGTTTTATTTGACCATGTGTGATTAGACACTCAAAGGATTTCTAATTCTTTCTAACATGCACAGTTGTGCATATTACAATATACCATATTTTTTGGAATATAAGACACACTTGCCCCCCCCAAAAAAGAGGGTAAAAATTTGGGTGCGTCTCATAGACTGAATGTAGCCCCGCCTACCCACCAGCCCCCACTCTTTGGTCTCTGCCTCCCAGAAATTTACTTCCTTGCAGCAAATGGGGAAAATGGAGCTTGCAGAGGTGGCAATATGCTATGGCAATCATTGCAGCCTGAAACAGCTGATCATCAGGAGGCCTGTGCTGAAATTGAAAGTGAAATGGGCTGTTTGCTGTTTGCTGCAAGCAGGCAAATTGCTGGGAGGCAGAGGCAAAAAAATATATCTTGTGCTAATGAGGCTAAACCGAAACAGGCTGTTTGCTGTTTGCTGCAAGGAGGTAAGTCAATAACTAAAAGTCTATATAGAATGTTCAAATTATTAGACTTATTTTTTAAAGACTGTTTTATTATTGTTCTAGACAACTTAACAAAATGAAGAAGCTTTTTAAAATAAATGCTTGAGCTGAAGAGGCCCAGTGCTATTGTATCTTCTTTTAAATAGCAGAGAATAATGTATACTTCCAGAAAGCCACATCAATTTTAACAGCATCTATACAAGTATAGTCTGAAATGTAACACCATAAACAGTGTATATCGTCTGTGCTGTTTGCTGTTTGCTGCAAGAAGGCAAATTGCTGGGAGGCAGAGACAGATTCCCCCCCCCCCCCCGTTTTTCTCCCCAAAAGCTAGGTGTGTCTTATACTTTGGAGCATCTTATACTCTGAAAAATATGGTAATATGAAGTAAAATATGAAAACATGTACTACAGTCCTTAATACTTAATTGGCTTTCTTTTTAACTCTTTATAAACCATTAAAGACAGCATTGCTATATATATATCATTAAATTAAGATTAATGTAATGGAATAGAATGGAACAGAACAGAACAGAACAGAATAGCTTTATTTAGCCATGTGTGATTAGACACACAAAGAATTTCTAATTCTTTCTAACATGCACAGTTGTGTCCTGGCCCTCGGATTTTTTTTTTAAAGTTTTCCTTTACTTCAGCCAGCAGAACAGTGACCATAACAACATTTCCCATTGCATTGACTTGTTTTTTTCAGGTTACCAAGCATGGCCTTTAATAGACTTTGATTTATGTGATCCTAATAAAAGCAGAATAGGCAAAGACCTTTATTGGAGCGTTGAAAAGAAAGTAGATATAGGACAATTTACAGTGTGCTTAGCTGCAAAATGGTATTTTGCAAATAGCTGAGGAAACATACCTCAGGCACTTTATTAAGAGAGCTTTAAAAAATAAATAGCATTTTAAAGGAGAAACTTGAGCTTTTATTATAGTTCATTCTTACTTTCTGTTAAAATCTTGGTTTCACGCTGTGGCTTATAATTTGACTGTTACCCAATCTGTTCCTCAATTTATAAAGCAAGATTTCCTTTCCTATTTACAAATGGATTTGTAGCATCCATTGGCAGTTCTCCATTTATTCACCAAACAAGTACTAGGAAACCCCCGTAATTTGCTATCAGCCACAAAGCAAGAGGAAAAGTGTCAGATTGGACTGCTTCTCATGGACGAAACAAATCAACTGATTTTCAGAAGAAATGTTTAAGATCATCCAGGAATCACTGCAAACTAATGTGTCCTTTATAAAGCTAACATTGGCAATTGAGTTTTCAACAGAAGATAATATTTATAGCTGAGAGCTAACCATTGGGACCCTAGTTGTAAAAGTACTATCATTTGAGAGTGTTTTTGTTAATTCTCTGTACTCCGTAATCCCGAAGTATGGTGATAAATATTGTAAAGCTGTCCTACAAATTTTATGAGTGTAGATATTTTGAGACGAGCCAGTTCTTGGCTTCAAATATATTCCAGTTAATAAAATGTATTTACCCCAGACTTTGGCACGTTGTCTTGTCTTCCATTGAGAAATGGTGCAGAAACACGAATTCTCTCTCGGGTGTCTTCAATTCACAATATAACAATTAGAAATCTGAAAAGTTTACCATCTGGATGGGAGAGAGTGCAGATCAGTGAGTCTTCTCTTTTTCTTCTTTGTCAACTAACAGCGAGTGGAGCAGAGTTTTTTTTTTAAAAAATCTTCCAGAAAATGTTTAGTCAGTTGAAGCATCCACAGACACATCTTCTTATTTATGTTACTGTAGCTACTACCATGGTTTCTTAATTCTGCTTAAGTTCACTTAAGGTCAGATTTTTGGTAATTTGTCAGCCTGTATCATTTGTCAGGCTTAAGATGGCACAGCAGCTAGTTTTGAAAAAAGATTTATCATGTGAATTAGTTGCTGAAATTCTGTTCTCTGACTTTTCTCTGGGAACCCTTCAGGGGAGTAGCAGCATGTGGGAGGGTGGACTTTTTGTAAAAGTGATAGCCATTCCCTGCCCAGTGACTGTTATCTTTTTTGTGGATTTGAGGTATTTTATATTGTCCCCATCTTTTAAAAATGGGAGGGGGAAAGGGGTTTAAATGTGCATGTGCATACACGTGATAAATGTATATAAGTATGCCCAACACACACACACACACACACACACACACACACACACACACACACACACACAGAGTCTTTGTATGACA